AAAAAAAAAGTTTGTTTGCTTTACTTTCTTACTTATTTCAATTTATTTTGAGTTTAGCCAAGTAAAAATTAGATAACCTTCTTATGTTGGTAGTGCAGATGTTAAGATATTCTACAGTTCTTGGGATGGTTGTTCTCAACTAAGTCCCCAATCTAGCTGTTGATTTTGGAAATAGTTCACTGTAAGAACTACCTTTAACAACTTTTAATGAAACATAGTTCTAGATATTTGGTACAGTGTTTTTTTCTATGAAGCCAAACTCTTTCAAACATTTTTCTTTTCATTGTGGCTAAGTGCTTTGTCAAACCATAAAAGTTTTCCGGCGGTAAAAATCCTCTATGTTCCACCAGTAACAGGCACTGGTACCAGTCACTACGTAGCAGCCCTTCCGCATGAATCTACCACCACTATGTTTGACAGTTTGCATGGAGGTATTTGGCCCTAAAGCCCTGTTCTACTTCAGACTCTCAGACATTCTTCCTGTCATTGCAAAAAAATGATAAACACTTGCTTCCTCTTTCCATAAGCATAAGTCTAAAATTGGACTTTTGGAAAGCAGAAGTTTCCATTGAGCTGGAAGGTGTTGATTTTGGAGCACAACTTCTTTATGTGCTGACATTCTTTCTGTCCATGGAGATGTTAACCATGCTTCACTCTGCACTGCCACACTGGTTTGTTAAAGCTATGTGGGTAGATGACTACCAGGATGTTTTGGATAATTCTAATATATTTATTCTCTTCAGAGGATTTTAGTTTTGTTTAAATGGTAAAACCTAGACAAAAGACTGCAAATCTTAACTGTATTTTACATTGTTCTTCATGATTGAGACAAATGCTTTTTGGAAGAAATCTTTGTATAAAACTGTATTATTGTCAAACATGTGGGTGGGAACGTCATGCTGAGAGCTTCTTTTGTTGCTGGTGGCATTGGCATATATTGTAATGATCTCAAACTTATTTTGTAATAGATAAAGTAGGCAATATTTAGTCTTTAGTATCACTTCCTACCAAGTTTGAAATCTGAGGACTATAGTTAACATGGTGGTTAAATATTCAGCCAAAATCAAACAAATGCTTATTATGATCTTGTGCAACCATGAAAACAATAATAATCAAGATAAACCAAATTTGGGATATATAATGATTTTGTATATATATATATTTCCTAATGGAATAAGATTTAAGCTGCTGATTTTATTTATGATTAAATTTAAAGAGTTTCTTCTCCCTGAGCTTCCAAACACAAGTGTTCTAAAAAGGACTGATCTGCTTCACATTAGTACTTCATTAAACCACAAAAATCTCTCTCTCTCTCTCTCTATTTATTTATTTATTTTTAGCTGATGCTGTTAGTATTTGGCAAACTTGCATCATAATTGGGTTGGTTTTGCCAAGTTTTGTTCGAGTCTAAACAACCAACTATTTTAGGATAGAACTTTTAGTCCATATCGTAGTTCTAGTTTTAAGCTTTTGACTTCTTTACAGCAGTATACTAGCTTTATAATTCTGAAAATGGTTGGTTAGAAGGCTTCAATAAAATTTAAAGTTCTGTCACTCTTGCTGCAAACAAACATTTTAATCTGGTAGGAAAACTTAAAACAAAGTGCATCAATAATGCATAAAAATACCAGTTAGTAGAAGGAGAGCCAATCTAGTTAAGTCATCAAAATGAGGAAGCTTTACTTAATTAAAAGATTCCAGTTGACCTGTATTGATAAGGAAGATTTATGGCGCTAGGACCCTTAAACTCTCATATACAAAAATATCCCTTGGGAGACCTTTAAGCTTAGGCTTGATGCTGGTGTTGGCGGGGGTTGAAAGGTCAACAAGTGAAAGAGACAAACAGATAAAACAGGAAGGTTTGTTATATTAAAAACGAGGATCGAGAATTGGCAAATAAATCAGTGGATGATCAGAGATTCATATAGGACTTTGTTTAACTGTCAGCAAGCTTTGATATTCTGTAAAGATCGGAAATCCACTGACAAGTCTCTTTGATCCAGTATTGGTCAAAACTGAATTCACCCATTATTGCCCAAGATGGGGTCAAGTATAAGCATAAGTGCACAGCACAATGTTTAATGTGTTGATCTGTTAAATAAACTCATGCAAGACATTAAAGTTTTTGCTTTTGCATTTCAGAAATGAAAATGAATGAATATATTTTGCATGCTACTGTACTAAGGTCGTTATAAAGTTGCAGCAATTGGTTGAAACCCAAAACATTTCCAAAATGTTTTGGGTTCTTACTATCTGGGCTTTTATGAGCACTTCCTCATTTTTTCAGCACTGACAGCTTTTACAACGAATAACCTGATGTGTTCTGGCATGTTGTTTGTTTCTGCAGAGCCGTATCCGTCGAATGTGGAACGACACAGTGAGAAAACAGTCTGAGTCCTCTTTTATGACCGGGGACATCAACAGCTCAGCATCACTCAACAGAGGTATTTGGTCCTGCAGGAATTCCTGTCATTAATGATTCCTTCTCCCTTTATTTTCTGCTAAAAATATCCAAGCTATGATTTCTTTTTTTGTTTGACAATACAAATGCTTTCCTCTTAACATGATGCAAGGTCTTTACAAGGTTCAAAGCATTTTATAATTGGATATGGGAGGCAAAACTTACTTGACTTGACTTAACTTTACTCATTTAACACCAAGGCAACTGTCATTTCTCCGCAGTCTGCATTAATTGCATCAGAAATTTTCAATTTTTCTTTAAAACATACATGTTCTTTTCAACATACTCACATTTATATTTGCACTTCAAAAAATGAAATCTAAATAAGTAACTTTTTCTTACAATAACTGCATTTTTTCTTAAAAGTGCAACACACAACACCAATGGAACAAGACAATTTAAATTTAAAATAAGAAAAAACAATAGCATTTTCTTAATTCAAGAGCATATTATCTAATTAACTTATTTTAAGAGTAAAATTCCTCATTCCACTGGAAAAAAAATCTAATTTTACCTACTCAAATGAAGGGTAAATACACTTAATTTAAGTAATTTTTTTTAGATGATTTCTTTGTAGGGTGAAATGTTAAATTGTTGAAGTGGGGAAACAGGATGCATAAGGCATTAAATCATTTTATAATCTAAAACTTTGATAAATAACTTTAATGTAAACACATATAGTTCATAACAGAATAATATTAGGCAGACAACCTTGTGTTTTAGTATCAAATAAGTGACTTTTTTCTGTCTTGTAATCTAAAAGCATACAAACCCAGAAAAAAATCAATAAATTTAAGCTATTACAATTAATATACAATTAATATACTTAATATAATATACTATCCATTTTTTTTATTTGATAAGTATAAAATGTAAATTCAAAGAAATATCTAGGTATGGCATTCTGTTAATGTCACAAGGTTGCATCAATTCAGTTCCTTCATCTTCGTTTTTAATAAAATATGATTTGGACTACAGTAGCTCCACACTGGGGTTAACGTCTGAACTCTATTGCAGCCAATCCGAGTGTGGAAAATCATGCCTGCTGCTCCTTGAACCGTTCTTTCAGAATGTGATCTGATGAAGCGAGGCATTGTCTACTTGGATAATGACTATGTCATCAGTTAGATCCATAATGATGGAAAATAGGACTTACTCATTCAGTATATTCCTGTAGTTGTCTGACTGCATCTTTTCCATTTGGGACATACTTGTTGCTGGACGTCAAACAGATGAGAGGAAGTAACCCCAGATCATAATGCTTGTGCAAGCAGACGACATTATGGGTGCATCATTTCGTCAGAGCCTCTCCTCATGCTGGTGTGGATGTCACACAGGGGAAGGCCGAGTAGCTCTAGATTCATTAGACCGCATGATTTCTTTCTTTTTTTTTTTTTTATCCCCTTATCTTCAGGTCTTTCTATAAAAGTTCCCTCTTTATTGGCTTTAGCAAACCAAGTGTTTAAGAGTATTCTTTAGACAGTATTACCAAAATATGAGCTAAAGCTTTTCGTATCAGCTAAAACCAATCAGGCCTACGTGTATTGGCATTCGCTGTTAAGATGTGTCAAATGTGCGACTTTATTGCACCCGGGTAGATTCACGCAGGAAACTCTAGATGACTCCATATTTAGGTTTTTATATTGAGCACATTTATTCCATGGAGATAATCTGATTTTGTAAAAAGATAAATCTTGTAAATAGAAATAAGTTTGTCTGACTAAATGGCTCACCTCCTATTAATACTTTATGCTAACTCCTTAATGTTAGTACTCATTTTGCATGTTGAGGCATACATAGATATGAATCCTTGACCATTCCCATTTGCTAAATCTATAAAGAAAATCCTGATTTCAGGATTTTCTCTTCCCTCTTCCCTTTCAGCTCACCCTACTGATTTGTTATGACATTTAGCTTTTGGGACCAAGACAACCATGGTAGAAGTTTGATTTTTGTCTCTAAACAGTTTATCATGTGGTTGTATATTTTTGGTCATTGTTTTCATAAGAAAATATAATAGTAATGGTACCTTTTCATTTTCCTAGGAAGTGATAACTGTTTTCTTTTTTATTAAAATCTTTACTTATATCTATTTTTAATGACACCATTTATTCTATCAATGTTGACTTGACCTTTAAAATAGAAATAAGCTTATAGCATCAAAGATAATCTACTGTACGAAGCACCGGGTTCCAGGTAATCTTCCAGATATTCATAATTTTTTTTCATACCAGTTCTATCTCAAGTGTTTATTTGCAGAAATGTAATTGATAGTTTCGTAAGCCCAAAGCACACTGTTTGGCCAAGTAGTTCAGTTAAACTTTACCTTTACTGATATGAGAAAAAATAACCCAATTGGGTGTTATGTAGACTTGGTGATGCCTAAACCTTTCTCTTAACTTCTTTTAATTCAATGGGTCCATCCTTTCACCGTGTAATTCACTGTGTATGGAGGCAAGGTAAATGTAAACACTTAAAAATCCTGTTTAGGAACCTTTTAAATTATTGTTGTAACTTTGGATATGGACAGTTTTAGGTATTTCTTTGGTAACTTGGGTTGGGCACACTCCTGTAGGTCTACCTAATCCATATCTTTTTAGTCTAAGTGGGATCTTCTGTTTTCTTTTCCCTTTTAAAAAGCTGCTAAGCAACACTTTCTATGTGCTGTTATACTTATAGAGGCTATATGGAGTTTTCTAATGATAGTGCCACCTTTGGCCAAAACACAGAACTGCAGCTCTCTTCTGCCCGCACTCATAGCTCGTGCCCGCACTGGTAGCTCGTGCTCGCACTTGACAAGGCTTTTTTAATTTTTTTTATTTACATTTTTTCAACTTAGGTGCACTTACCATTGGTTTCTGAGTTCAGCTGGATGGCAGTAGCTTCTGAGTATCCGTAAAATCCATCTGGAATATAATGCTTTGATTGTTTAAGGGGTCTGAACCTTTTAACATGGACGTACATGACGTCACATCTGCCACACAACGTAGGAACTTCCAACCCAAAGTAAATTAAGGAAAATAGGCTACAGGCTTATAGATCCCTCGCAGCTGAACTACTGAGGTGTCAGTCTGCTTATTAAACAATGTTTTACCCATAAAAGGTTAAAAAAAAAGGCTATTTTAAAGATATTTTTCAGTCAAAATTTAGATAATGTCTCTCAAAAGGCTGTAAAACAGGAATGGATTAATAATAGTTTGGACACATCTTTTTAGCAAAGAAGTTGTTTGGACACTTATTTTTATTAAAATATGTTGCTGTGGTCTTTGCTCAAAATGACCAGACAGGAAACAAACAGAGAATAAGGGAGGCATAAAGCAAATGAACTGAACCCAAGATGGCAGCATCAAGTACTCCCTGATTTAGGATCAGGTGTGTTGGCTTAGTGTTTGACTCGGTGTCACCCCATTAGAACACATCTAAATGGAAAAAAGTATGTACATCAGATATACTTAATCTTTTATGTCTTTAATATTTTTTTTCCCTTTACTGAAAATCTAAAATGTTGCTAAAGTATTTTAGAGTTATTTTATTCTAATTCCAAATTTATTTGAAGGCTTTCCCTGTAATAAGCCCTGCAGTCCTGTATGAAAATGTGGCCTCTTCATCCTGAAGGTGACCTTTGAACAGAGATTATAGGCTTCGAAACACTTGAGACAGATTTTGTGATCATTGGAAAATCAATTTCTTCAGTTTTATTAGCTGTAAAAGAAAAATAAAAGTTGATGAAAAGTATTCGAGAGCAATGTTTTAAAGTGAGAGTCAGAGAGTTAACTTCTGGGCTTCTCAGCTCAGAGAGGAAAAACAGACACCAGACTACATCTGACATCAAGCTGCAAACGCCACTCTCTCTGGCATCCCTCCCTAACACTCTCGGCAGTCATCACATCTCTTGATTGAAGAGCTCCGGTTCCACACTGCTCTCTCTCTAAATTCACTCTGGGCGCCTGCTCGCAAAGACGCTAATGCATAGTTACAATGATGGATTAATGTTCGACACAGTGAGGAAGTGTCATGATCTCTGTAATTAGGCGCTCAGCTCAGCATCAGCAGCAGACGTGACTGTTATCAATTGTACAGAGGCTGAGGAGAGAGATTGGATGCTGGGGTTGAAGGTCAGGAGTTGGGGGTATGAAGGAAAAAATAAAGTCTACACAGATCTTCCATAAAGACAAAAAGCGAAGGCAGAAATTATTTATGGCTGCTTACTAGGCTAAGAGTGATGGAGAAAACCCTCAAAGCAGCTGTAGAGCATGTCGGGTAGTGTGTTCTGCCATCACAAGCACCATCAGTAGCAGATGCAAATAGAATTGCACTCATGCATGGCTTTTCCTGTGTGCTTATTAAGGAATTATGTGTTGAGGAGCAAATATTTCTTGCTGATTTGGCCTTTGCAGTCTTGACGCTCTTGCAAATGTCTCCCTCTCCCTCCTCCATCTCAGCTCAAATCAGGAGAGAATGAGCTCACAGCTGACACTCCTTGCCGTGCTCTTCTTCTGAGCAGAGTCATGCAATCATCTTGAAGCCATGAAGACATGTTCAAATTATCTCTGTATTCACAATTATAACTCTGCAATTAGTCCAATTTCCCTCTGAATCTGTTTAATTTCAATAGAGGCGTATTAAGACGGGGATTGGTCATTGTGGGAATTCAAAAAAGGAGGCTGGTTGTTTGTGAAATGCACTGTAATTAGGGCAAGCATTGCTAGGAACAACAAAATACTCTACTCTTCTTCTAATGAAAACAACTTTCAGTTTTCTGTGCAAAAATATCAGGTCTTATTAATGATAAATTCAATTAAAATATATTGATAATTTTGACATTGTGGAATAGTTATATTCAAATAGATATCCTTTTATTTATTGTTAAAATAAAAAAGAAAACTGAAAAAAAATACATAAACAGTCCCAGTGGATTACAATAGCATACCCTTTGGATTGGATTTCATATTTTTTCTATTGCAAGCACAAAGCATGATTGCATTTGGCTGGAATTTATTGAGAGAATAAAAAAAGAAACAACTCTGCCACAGAAAGAAAGGCTACAGACATTTTACCGTACAACCTTTAAATAAAGCCAGGGCGCCAAACTCCTAAGTCACATTATTAGTAAATACAGTCGCCATGTTTATACTTTGCTAAATACATTTGATGCTTATTCCACTTATGGAAAGACTCAAAACAGAAGCACATTCTTTCCAGCATCAGCTGGAAAGTAAAGAAGCGTATGGCATTCACCAAAGAAAAAGAAAAAATCCGACAGCTTATCTCATAATTACGAGATCGGTATCTCATGAAAGTGATAAGAAGACAATGAGGTAGTCTGCGTTTGGTGTCTCTTTATAAGTCTGTACACAATAGTGTCAAGATGCAAAACAATTTTCAGACTTGTTCATATAATAAAGGAATATTGAATTGCATTTTTTGCTGCTATGTAAATGACTGAAACCATGCGAGAATAATGAGAAGAACACTGACCTATGAACATAAGGGAATATAAACAGAACCCAAAATATCCGTCTGCCCTACAACTTAAACATGATAATATAAATATATTATATTGAAACACACTCTCCTTTTAAACCTAAAGCTCTAAAAATTACCCTTTAATGAATGACTAGAAAATAATAAAAACAAAATCATCGAGAAAACCTTAATAATAATAATCATAATAATAATAATGATAATAATAATAATAATAATAACTAAACCTTATTGATCTCACATTGGAGAAATGTACCTCTGCATTTAACCCATCCCGTTAGGGGATGGGTTAAATGCTTCTACCAGGGTGCAGCACGATGGCAGCCCACTGCTCCACATGTAAGATCAATGAAGTTCAATTATATACAGTAACAATACTAATAACCCACTTTTTTTTTTCAAAACCTAAATCAATAACCAAACTCATGAACTTAATTTAACATTGGCTAATATAAAAATAGTACTTTTTGAAGTAATCTGAAAATGGACAAAAACTACAAAACTAACAAGACTGTCAACCTACAGTAAAGGGACAGGTCGTACATTGAGACCAAGTAGAAATACATAACTAAAGACTCAGCTGAGCCCAAAACTTATTATTTAGGCTGCATGCTAAATGCATGTGAATCAGAAAATGACACAGCACATAATCACCATGAGGAAACATGGTCAGTAGCAATGAAAAATAGCCGGAGTAAGTGGAGGATAGCAGGAGAATAGAAAAACTTTTTAGGGAAAGCAAAAGGAATTTTTTTTTTTCTTTTAGAATGGCCATGCTAAAGCGCAAACTGTATTCCAATTGAGAAAGGTAGTTATTTTGAGTACTGCCTACAAATAGGTACTGAATATAAGTGCAAGCCTCAATTTTCAGATTTTTCTTTGTAAAGAGCTGTTGTAAAAAAAAACAAAAAAAAAACTTTCACTCTTCCTTCCAATGAGAAAGATCCATTTAGCCTAAGTCTGTGTTTATAAAATCCAAATGAAATATGGGTCAATTTGATCTAATAATAAAAAAGAAAAGAGGCGGAAAACAACTCTAATATATATGCATTCTATTGCATGGTTCTCTATATAACTGTGTTTTAAATGTTAAATGAGACCTTCCTCATGCTGTGTGACAGATTCAGAGCATAGAAAACAATATTCTGCTTGGGGATCCAATTGCAACGTACTTGCACCTCAGATAAAGGATGTTTACCTGCTCTTGCAGAAACACACACATGCATCACCCTCACAAGTCCTGCATTTGGCTATTTTCACTATAATGGCATTGTATCATGTTGACAGTTGCAGGAAGGAAATATTTCAAACAGGTAATGAATGTAGCCTGTAAACACTTAATATTCTGCATAATGCCTTTGAATTATTAAAAGGGAATGTTTTTTTTCTATCACAGCAAAGACTCCCCCCAAAAAATAAAATAAATAAATTTAAAAATCCCTGCATCTAATCAACCAGGCTCAAACGGCAAAGGCTTCCCTGGTATGGCAGAATGTGCACTAGAAACTGATGAGTCACTCAGGCTGCGGTAATCTAAAGACAAGCTGTGTTTCTTAAGAAGAAAAAGAGCTGGGCATTCTGCTTGTGCTTAAGGAGGCGAGGCTTTAGCTAAGCAATGACCAGCTTGACAGAAGAGAGGATAGCTCGACATTCAAAGGGTGTTTCAGTAGCAGCTGCAAAGGGAATGAGCAAATGCTGATCTTTGCTCTGTGGAGAAAAAAAAAAGACACAATACATCACTTCAGCTAAGGAAAATGGTACAGCCAGAAATAACAGTGTTCCATCTGATACCTCAATTGCGGAGGTTTCTTTGTAGTGGACATACTAAAAGTTTGATGTTAGATACAATGCCTTTTACTGTTATTAGTTACCTTGGCAACAATGTTAAAAGCCTTGAAGACTATAGACGTTACAAAGAAAACTCAATGGGACTTTTTCCAGAAGTTGTATAAAAGTAAGCTTTTGAGTGTTTTTTATACCTACCTTACAAACCCTTCTTTGTGTGTAGTTTTAAGATATACTCCGGTCTACGTTTTTCTCACGGTTGTGATAGTTTTAATTGTTTCTCTGCCAAGAAATACAGTTTGCTGCAAGCAAGTCTCTGTTTTCTGACTTTAAGGTAGATCACCTCGCATTTGATGTAAGCCTACTTCATTGTGTTTTCTTGTCTTGCCAACTTGAAAGCTCTACCACATTAAACCCAAACCCCAACGGAACAGGAAGATATGCTCTACTTTTAGAATTTCTAAAGACCCTGATCATCTTTAAAACTGAAAGTAGAAATGAAAATTAAGTTTATTTTTTGTAGGATTGTTGAGAGCAGCAATAACTATGATGGCGATACACCTTTCCCTACACAGTTATTTTTTTCTATTTAGCTTTTTTAGTCATACTAATAATTCAACTGAGACTGATTTATGGTTTGTTCACATTGTACTAGGAAGTCACAATATCAACTAAAATAGTGTCTTTGTCTTTGTTATGGTTTTAAAATTGGCCATAGTGGCCTTAAGAAAAGTGGAGAATAAGAGTGCTGACAAGCAGGAAACTTGAATATTATGACCAACAGTAGTAGGAGGTTACGTTACTTCAGCTTCCCAGTTCAGTGGTAAATTGTATGCCGTGTTTTACCTGGACACAGAGCTGTATCGTAGACAATGTACCAAGCTGTGTTGTTTTAATCAACAGGAAATTAATCAACTGCAGTGGTCATGTTTCAACCCACTCGTGGTAGCACTAAAACAGTTTTAGGCCAAATTATTTAAAGAGGTTTGAATAAATAAGGCAAAATGAACATAAGTTGTTTAAGATAAGTTGAACATAGTTGTTTCCTCATGGGCACATCCACTGTACAAGACAGAAGCGGTATCTCAAACTTTCAGATTGCAGGAAGTGAAAGTTGCTCCATCATGATAAGTTGCTCCATCATAATCATTTCATGGTACAGTTATATCTTTAAATAACTTTGAATAGCAAATTTTAAAGATGATTAGAATGACTTCCTGTGCCACACTGACAATAAATGATCAGTTTATTTTTTGGCTTTAGGCAGTAATAAGCACATGACATAAAAAAAAGGCTTGCTGTCAAGTCAAATTACTTGCAAATTCAGGTTCTCATTTGTGAACATAATTATGTAACTTAAGAATTGAGCTAAATTATACATTTTTTCTACAGATATTTTTTGCTATTTCACAATTTGTTAAACTAGTATGATTTTTTTTTCTTTTTCCTCTGTTATCAAACACATTGTTTATTTCTCTATAGTCATGTGTCTGAAGGTATGTTTTAGACCAAAAAATGACATTGACACTAAATTAGCCATAGTATATACAGTATATATATTGTTTTATATATATATTATATATATATACATATATTGTATATATAATCTATAATCTGGGATATTTACATGTACATGTCCTTTAAAATGCTCTGTGGCTCTTAAATAAACTCAAACATGTCTGCTAACAGAGGAAAAGTACTCATAAATATAGAAGAATAGAACTTTGTGAAAAGGAAATGTGATAAACTATGACTGCTATAGCAGTTACTTTAGTCTTACTTATAGTTTCAGCATATTTACAGTATACTTTAACATAACTCATTAAACACCATGATGATTTTACATGAATTGAGCTAGTAAATTTAAATATTGTTAAACACCTAGTTTTTCAGTTTCACATATAGTTCTTTTTCTTGTATTTCTGTCTGTCAATGCATGAATGCTGCCAGAATGTGGAGCTCTAAAAATAAAACAACATATTGCTAGTGGCTAGCATTAAACTTACAATCAACCTACTTGTCATCAACCCCATTAACCACAGCAGTTCAGCTCTGTTGCCCCACCACCTCCTGAAATTAATGATCATGTGATCATTTGGATGTTAATGGATGTCATTGCTCAGTTGCATCCACTCAGCTGATATGTATGTTTCCGTGAATATATATGTATTTATATCTCAACTTTCACTGTTTGTTTTCTCTTTCTCTCTATCTGGCTCTGTTTCTTTCTGGCTGCTCCAGGGGCTATGGCTAACCATCTTATACCTAATGCACTCCTACGTCCTCATGGCACTAACAATCCCTATAATACATTGCTTGGGGAGTCTGCCGTTTATAACAACCCCCTGGGCATGTACAACACTCAAGGTGTGCCTGCTTATTTTCATTACTTACCATTGTGGCTAGAGCAGTGTTTTTTGATATTTCATTTTTCGGCTGGCACTTTGTTATTCCTGCATTGAAAATAGGAAAAAAATGTAAACACACAATAAATTTAGGATTTTAAATAAGCAGAAAAGTTACAAAAAATATATACTCTTTAAAGCCTTGATTATTTGATGGATTTACATTGAAAAACACTGCTCTATTTGTGTTATTTTAGCTATTAAACTAAAAAACTCCATATTCAGTGTGTTGGGTTTTTTTTTTGTTTTTTTTTTTATTGGCGTTGTATCTTGGCATTTGGTTGGTTCATCCTATTTGGTTCTAAAAGTCTTGCTCTTTTATGGCAGTTTTGGCAAAAACCAAACATTCCTTTGAAACAATCCTTCAGAAAGCCAGATACATCACCAAACCTATCTATCAAATGTGCTCTAATGTTACGTGCAGTGTCTGCTGTCTCTCTGTGTTTGTTTGGTTTCAGACTTTTTCCCCCTTAAAACCAAATGGTTGCTTTTGGTCAAAAAAGGCATAATATACAGTAGTGTCAATTAGACACTGACATACACTCATCATGGGCATGAATAATATTAATCTGATATTTCTAATTATTCCCAGGTAGCATTGCTATAAAACAATAATTTAAAAAGATCATTGTGTTACACTAATTATTGAGTATTTTTTTTGCCTCATACAGTTTATAAACTCATGTAAAAAGTCCAATAAACTCAAATGTACAATTTTGTCCAAACCTATGGATAACCCTGGCATACTTCGATAGGTTTTTATGCAGCCAAAAAGCTTTTTTCTGATTTGAAATGACATGCACATCTCCTATGAATTACTTAGACTATTGTTGTTGACCAATTTTCTTTACAATATTTTGGTTATGGACATCAACTTATTTAGGCTAAAAGGGCTCAATGCCATTATCCTAATCTTTAACTCTGTCCACAACTCCTATCACTTCTACACAGATACTACTTTAAGTTATGACGCATAAAGATGGCATTTCACTTGCCGGACAACCGAAAATTGACTTTTCATCTGAGTAATCATCACCAAATTCACATAGAGGTGGTAAAAGCCCTGTATTCATACAGTGACATCCCACTTTCCTGCATCTCCCAGCAAAATCCCCTCCAACTTCCAGCCACTGGAGAGACACCCTCCTTGCGTGCATATTTTTTTTTACTCTGACTCCACCCTTTTACTGGATTACTGGGTCTGACCAGGAGATGACGTTTCTTTTTAGATCTTAATGTCCACAAATCATAACAAAAAGAATATTTAAGTACAAAGCTTGATGTTTAAAAAGGAATTGTAGGGGACTGGCAAAGGGCCCATCAAGGAAAGTGGAGAAATTTTGAATAGCTTCTACTGTATAACATTAGATTCTTAAAGTTAAACTCAAAGTTGTTCATAAGCCAGTAGATTTAGGCTTAAAGAATAGTATCAGTTTTCAACAACTTGTATGTTCAATCAACAAGTGAAGAAAAAAATGCTACCTTTCATAAGAAATTTCTAAAAAAAAAAAAAAAGGAAATTCATTGACTTCCCCACAGCACCACTAAAGATGCTATAGTATGTATGTTGTGCCCACTGGTTGTGTTGTTACAATGCTAAAGAAACACACCAAAGCAGCTGAGAAAAACACCTGGTATAAACAGCCAAGTGATGCAAGAAGAACACAACATATTTCAAAGGGGTGCATGTGGGTTACTGAGAGAAAAGCAGCTACTACTTTATTCTTTCAGAGAACAAAAGGCTGACATGTGCACATTAACAAGATCCTTCTTATGTCTTTCTTTGTTGTCTTTTGTCTTTCAAAACAACAGATCATTTTGGATGCAAATTCTAAATAGAAAATACCTGTCTGGATACGTCTAACCTTGGCTCTTAGTGGATGGAGCTGAGGAGAACACAAAAGTTTTAATTAACGTCTGGGGCGCTTTCCAACATAAAAAAACCTTGACTTTCACTCCAAAGTGCCAGAGTAACACAGCACACATGCAGACATTGATATGTAGACATTTGACTCTCAGTAACCTACACATCCACTATCCTATTCTAGCCTGACATAAGTTTCTAGTTGTATATTTGACCTATTATTGGCTAGGCGACCTTTTAACGGCTAGGCGACAGTAGCATCAGATGCAGGAGATTTCCCTGCAACTGAAGGGTTGCCGACTTTAGCTTCTGCTCTTTCTGTCATTGTATCCTTTGGCAAGACACTTAATCCGCATTACCATCTGATGGTGATTGGAATGCTTGGTGGCGCATTTATATGGACCCTTCTCTCAATGAGCCGCAGAGCAGCTTTGGCTACATTGTAGCTTGCCACTATCAGTGTGAGAATGTGTGGGTGAATGAATGTGGTGTACAGCAATTATGAGTCCTCTGACTTGGAAAGGCGCTATATAAGTATAGGCCATTTACCATAAACATCTTGACTAAAATGGCAGTTATGTTAGGATACTTTCTGCATTTCAAAAACCCTTCTTTGGGAACATTTAGGGTTATTTAGGGCGGGTATAAAACATCCAGGTTTATGCCAGCTTTGACAATGGAGTTTTGATTTTGAGTGAAGTGGATGAATTTAGTGGATGTCACTCTACTTCAGTTCACCTTTAGAAATTCATCACCACTGGTAGGGAAACAAGTCCTCAGCATGACACTGGCACAGACATGCTTTGTACAATGTCTTAGTTTTGACAGTGTCGTCTTCGTCTCATCAGATGATATTTTCTTTATCCTGACAACATTTATTACTCTACATAAGCAGCTGTAGGTTCAGATTTTAAGCAGGGCTTCTTCATTGATTGACACTCCCTCAGCCATGGCAGAGAAATACTGGCTTTACTATGGATATAGAAGGTGATAGACTTATGGTGTTAAATGAAATTACGTTGCTAATGAGCAGCATAAAACAGTGAAATGATCGTTGCCATTATAAATTGCAGCAGTGATCAGAATGTAAGCAGTGTAAGAGAAAAGGAAACCAGTTTACAAATAATGGTCCAAAAGGGCATACATATGGAAAGTTTCAGTGTAGAGCAAAATGCAGTAGAACATGATATTCATACAACTTCTAGTTTTAATCAGGTTTGACAATGCTGTTTCCTTGGTTGCAGGGATAAATAGATAAAATGTCATAACATTTGTTTTCTGCATGACCTCAGCGTTATTTGAAAATATGTGGGCTGTGCATAAGACAAGTCAGCGAATTGACCTCTACCAATTAGTATGATAAAATATACAAACACATTTATACTAGAAAGCAAATGATTTTAATAGAAAGCATGGGGTTAGGCTGCATATTCCCTAGGAGAATTTAACCAAAAATGAACGCATGTATGCTCTCTGCCTGGGAAAAAAAAACGTTAATATAGAAAAGCCCAATCTATCTACCTCTTCACTCACCATTTATGCCAATGATGAGTTTATGTAAAATTACTGACTAAACTATCTTTTTTATACATTCTTTACCTGAATATTCACTTTTGATATTAAGATATATCTTACAAATTTAATGAAACTTCATTTTTTGTAATTTCTTTGAGAGTTAATAACAACTACCACCTACTAGACCATAGAATGTATTACAGTAGGACACAGATGTGTTCAAAATAAGTTTTTTTTTTTTTTTTCTCTAACCATTTTGTAGTTTTAACAAAGTGCAATTTCAGTCCCTTTTGTCTCTCTGCTGAGCTGTTATTATTTTCCTCCTTATCTCTGCAGTCAATATGAGATTGCTGTAGTTATGAGTGTCTTAAAGTCCTCAAAAGTAGAGAGAAACCCATGTGAAGCTGAGATAAAAACTTACAGCGAGCTTTGATAAGTGGATAATTTATGTATGTGATACAAGTGCTTTGCATTTGAGCTGGTGATGGAGGACTATAATTCACTTACATCGCCACAGATGGAAAAGAAATATCTGGAGGAATGAAAATGCTAATGCATCAAAAGATTTATTGGCGCATTTGATGCTCAAGGACCTTTGCCTGTGTTTTACCCCCAAGGATTCTGCAACATCTAATAGCCAAACATCTTTAATATATTTGTCAAGAGATTTTTTTTTTTATTATTACAATCCTTTTTTTTTTTTTTGCAAACATACAAAATCTGCATGGTGACACACTTGCTAAACTACACAATTATCTGAAGGACCATCAGTGTTCCATTATGTGCAATTTTCTCTTTTCACCTGTCATTGTTATGCTTATTGTGTTTTCTTCTTTCCTTTTCCTCATGCTGTCCCCAAAAGAGCCCTACAGAGAGACAAGTATGGGAGTCAAACTAAACATTGCTTATCAAATGTAATTGACTTTGGCTTTACTTTCTTTTGACTTGATGCTGACATGGGAATAGTGAAATGATGATCTAATTCAGCTTTTTAACAATCAGGTCCATGTATGAAAGCAATAAAACAAAAACGTAACAATTACGACGCAGCTATTTTAGCTTTCCATGCAAAACTGGTGAAGTAATCCAGTCAAAGGATACATTTGGAATAGTTTTTTTTTCTTAACATGAGTCTTGAGTTCACTTTGATCAAGTTGTTACACTTAAAGAAGGCCAAGTAAATGTTTCGTGTCAATTTTTAAAGAGGTCAGACTGAGAGCTTGACACTTTTAACAAGCTGGATGGCCTTGTCTGAGGTAGTCTGAATTATCGTCAAAATTTCTCCTCACTTTGATGTCAGCAGCGTGGTAAATGTGATGAAATATGAAAGTTACATGTTAGTGCAACAGAGAGAACAGACTGTCTCCTTCCTGTCAGGGTGGTGAGATTCTGATTTAATGAAACAGATTAATTTCTTTTTAAGAGATAGAGCTAGTTGGGTGCAGATAGATGAGACATAAATAAACTGTCAAAAAAAAAAAGATGTTTAAGTGGCGCCATGTCCAACTTCAGATGGATTTGATCGCAACACAGTTACATTTTCCTGCATACCTCTTCTGAAAAAGATGTTAAAAGTTTCCTCTCAGAGATGGGGGAATTGCATGAATTAGTTTCATTAATGTCTATTTGCCTGCTTAAGCTTTACGTTCTTGTGCTGTGGTGAATGTTTCTATAGTTTTGTATCACACAGCCATGCGTTATTCCTGCTATAGAAAAACTTTTATGAAAACTAAACAGAATTCAAACAAAATTTTACACGAGGTAAGTGCTTCAGGTATATTTTCATAAATTAGAATATCATTCAAAAGTTAATCATTTCACAAAACCAGTTAATTTTTGCAAAGAGTGGTATGGTAAATTTGTCATTGTTGGTTAACAGTTAATAAAAGCCTGACTTCAGTCACTTTGAAGATTAGAATATTTTAAATGAATATTTAAGGGAGTTGTAACAAACATCCATTTTAAAGACTACACAAATTCTAAGAAAGACAACAAAAATGTTTGGCAGAAAAAGAGATGACCACAGCCATGAGAAACTGCATAGAAAAGCTTATGAGATATTTTACAGATTAGCCTTAAGTGATATTCTAATTTGTTGAGATGCATCTGTGTTATTAAAGGTCCTTAAATGTACCTTTTTAACCCAAAATCTGTAGGGCCTATTTACTTGTTTAGCAAAACCCTTTAATGCTCAATCTCTTCCTTTTTTTGGGCCCTGCAGAAATGCCCAACACATCTTTTAAAGCTGTACTCACCAGTTTTTATCATTTACATTTGCCAACAATCCCCTTCCCTTACCACTACCCCACCACCCCCATGTTTCTCATTTCAGAGGGAATCCTGAACAATGCCCGGGATACAAGTGTCATGGATACTCTACCACTGAATGGTAACCATGGGAATAGTTACAGCATTGCCAGCGCTGAGTACATGAGCGACTGCGTCCAGATCATCGATCGGGGCTACAACCACAAGGAGACCACCCTGGAAAAGAAGATCCTGAAAGAGCTCACCTCCAACTATATCCCCTCTTACCTAAACAATTCTCACGAGCGCTCAAACGAGCAGAACCGGAACCTCATGAACAAGCTGGTCAATAATGTAAGCAACGGGGGGAAAGACAGCGGCTATGGCATGAGTTTGGGAGTGGGGATAGGCATGAACGTTGCACTGAATCTTGATGATCACTCGACCTTTGGTACCCACCACGATGAAGGCCTGGGTCTGGAGTTGATACGAGAGGAGTCCAATGTCCCGTTGTTGCCACAAAGGCCACTGCCAACACTGCAGGCAGTCAACAATCTTCACAATCAGCTTCAACAGTCCATGTCACCGCCCCTTCCCCTCTCCCATCATCCCTTCTCCTCTGCATCCAACTCTTCATCCTCTAGAAGGAGGATCCCCCAGGAGAACAGTGAAAGCTTCTTCCCCTTACTAAATAATGAGCATATTGAAGATGAAAGTTCATTGCCCAACCACAGCCACCAGAGAGACTCCCTCTACAACAGCATGCCAATGTTGCCTGGCCTGCCTGACGTATCCGCAGAATCCACCGATAGCTCAAAGGAGGGTGGGGATGCCAAGAGTCCAGAGGCAAGCTTAGACGACGTTTACTACAAGAGCATGCCCAACTTGGGCTCCCGTAACCACCTCCATCAGCTACATTCCTATTACCAGCTCGGACGGGGTAGCAGCGATGGTTTTATTGCACCCACTAACAGAGAGGATCTTTCTGCCGAAGAGGGTAACCCAGAGCCCTCTCACTTGGTCACCAGCCTATAGGCCCAGACACCCCACCTTAATAAACGTTAATTTCTTTTTCTTTCCCAAAGTCCTCTTCTGTTTCCTCACTCCATTGTCCATCCGTCGTTGGCAGTGGTACCCATTGTTTTTAATGTTGTCCTAAAGACTGAGACAGCTTAACTCTCCCTGTTAGTGACCACAAACAGGTTAAGAATTATAAAATGGATGGAAGCGGAAGTGACTATCTTTGGTTAGATATTCCCAAGGTTGATGTTGTGTACCCAGCCACCTGATTCTCTCTGAAGCCCACTCTGGTTTGGTGTGTTTGCCTTCATCTAATAAGAGACACCCACAAAACGTTAGGCCTCATCGATATTAGTCAAGAGGAACTGGATAGCCCCAAAAGTCTGAACTGATAGACTTCAACAGAATTAATGGGGAATTAAAAAAAATTACTATTTTATTATACTTCTGTATCTATATGGACTTTTTGAAGTATTTTCTTCCTCTTCAGTGAGTTGCAGCACATTTTGTTTGCTGTAGTGTTCCTCCAAAATAAGAAAAAAAAGAAAAAAAAAAACCACTTATCCCCAATTTACATTGCACCCAGCTTAGTTGCACTGCGCTGCAAACTTCTCCAACTACCTAATATAGACTGTCTGTGTTTTGCTACAGTTTGAAGATTTCCCAATAAAAGCCTGTGATAACTGCAGAAGTCAAAGCTAAACAACTTGTCCTATGAAATTTTCAATAATTAAGCCTGCTTCACGTTTTGGTTTTGCATATCCAGATAATTTCAGAACTAGAATTCTGCAATGGGTGAATACACTGCAAGCAAAGAGGCAACACTTGTTGCTTATTATGGTGCTTTTACTGTTTGTTATGTTTTGATTACCTTAGTTGATATATGCAGTTCAATTATTGATTTAATGTGTCAGATTGCTAATATACTGATATACACACATGTATCGTTGTGAATTGACCAGTACAACAATATTTTTAAGGAAATCTAGCCTTCTTTTGTGTATTATTTCATAAAACTTGTAATCTGTGATTGTTCTGTTTTCTCCTGGAGTGATGGGATTTCTAAATATTTACTGTGGTCTTACTGCAGCATCAATCAAAAATATTATTGAATCAAAAGTTACTGTCTTTTCCTCGCTTCCCTGAAACACTTTGCAGAGGCTATTTAAAATGTTCCCATTGATTATTACGATGGCGCTGGAGTTCGCAACAGAGTGGAGGGGAGCTGGATGCAGTGTGAATTGGGGGACATTTGCCAGTAAGGAATTATAAGTTAAATGCTTTCAAGCATAGCTGTTCTTATTTTGTTCATTTTATTTTAACATTTATTAAGAAAGAGGAGAAAAACTAATGAGAGAATTATGACATATTTCTATGTGACTGTACAGATAACTAGCATTGCACATAATATGCATTTTTTTCACCTTTATTTGTTTAAATTTTTTTTGTTGTTTTGTTCGGGGCCAACTTTTTCTCTGTAAATTAAAATGATTAGGAACAGCTTTGTTCTGTTGTGCTGGCCTCTTTGAAGTTTTCACTGTACTGCTCCGGTTTTATGTTGTATCACTTTCCAAGAAATCTAAAGAGAAGCAAAAAAAAAAAAAAAAAAAAAACGTGAAGAAATTGAACTCTGGTTGTTCAGGCATTGCTGTGAAATGTGCTCGCTTTTGTTTCCTGGTCAGTTTTCAATTCTTGTTTAAGGTTTTTTTTTTCCTCACTTTTTTTCTTTTTCTGTGTAGATAGCAACACTTCAAAGAGACAGGATTGCAGAATCCCTAAGAAAGGTTTATAGTGCGTTCTACATTTGTGTCAACTCTCAGAAAACGCTTGAGCTTCTTGGACTTGAGGACTTGACAAACTGAGCCTTGTTGTGCACCAGGCACTTGTACAAATAAAGAAAGTTTGTTGATTTACTTATTAAAGAAAGAACTTTTGGAGTGAGTAAAACTGAAAGTGTTTTTATTTTTCCTTCATCGTTCAAGAAATAATAGTTATTTGTTTAAATAAATAGTAATAAGAGATGTCACAATTATATTTTTGTGGCGAAAATATATAGAGCTACGGTAATATAGGGCATTTTTTCTTTAATCGTCAATATTCTTTAGCAGATTTATTAGGGTTTATCCCCATGAAGAGTAAAGACAGATTAAATACATTTATTCATGAAATAGATAATGTAAATATAACATCAAATAAATTAATGTATCACAGAAGAAGAAAACATTTAATGAAGGATAAAATTTGTCATAAAATTAATAAATGTACCATTTATTCAACAAATACATAATTGAACAATTAAATATCTCTTTAAATTAAACTTTAAATGAATAAAAAGTAAAACAATTAACATGAAGTATAATGACACAAACATTACATGTTCCATAAAATGTTAAATTTGCCATTTATAATAATAATAAATACACCATAATGTACCATGTCAAATAATTAAATGTGATATAATTATATGTGTATTTTTAATTTTGATAATATAGTGGTTAGACATTTAAATAAACATTTAAATATAGGTTTCATTATTTCACTCTACATTTGTGTTATGTAGTTGCTTAGCAAACTAACCCTGAAATATGTTTTATGATTTCACCCAGAGCTGCTTTTATAGAAACTCTCACTGAAAAAGTCAACCCTAATCCTTCCTGGCTTTTGTTTTTCACTGAAAAAAGATGTAACTTCATTTGATATTTATATTTATTTACAGCACATTTAGTGAGCAGCTCCGGCCGACATAGCGCAGGTTATATATGACAAGCTTATGAAACGGCAGGTTGTTGTGTAGTGTGGTTGGAGCTTTTGGCCCCGCCCACATTAATATATTAAATATATTAAAATACATTCTCTCATTAACCTTTTAGAGAATAAAGTATGGATATAGAGGCTGGGGTTGCTTATCAAATCTGTTTTAAATAAATTGCTTTGTAAATTGCCTATTTGAATTTATTTTTTCAGTGATAATTAAAAAATCACCCAGGAAGTACATTTGTTGCAGAGTTTCTATACACGCAGCTCTGGTCCAGCCTACTGAGTTTGATGGGGAAATTTGAGAGTTTAAATAAGTTCATGACGAGTGTTCTGCACAGACATAAAAAAAAAATAGATTGGAATAATGAAATGTATGTTAAAGGAAGGTTTGTTGAACAATAATAATATTTAACTGTTATCATAATTTCAAAAGTATATGATTTTATGACAGGTTTTGATTATTTTACATTTTGTGATGTATTGGTAATTTTAATATTTAAAGGCTGCATTCAATAGATAAATGATACATTAAGTTAGTTAATGGAAAATATGATGAAATATTTTTCATTTTACTTTTAATACATGTCTTTCATAGTTCATTCAACATTACATTAACTTATTTTTTATATTGAAAAAATACATCTTACAAGTATTATTTCATGGTGCATAAAATTGTTTTTCGGGGGTCTTATTTGCAGTTATTTAATTCATGATACATTTACTATTTTCTCCCTGTTTACTCTCCGTATATCAAATACTGTATTAAAGGTCCTGTTGTCCCGATCTGGCCTTCAGTTTGACATCCAGGTCAAAGTAAAATCAAATTACTTAAACGTCAATATTTATTTTTCTTCCTTTTTATTTTTCATTTATAAAGTTATTTGCTACTAAATGCAGGCCCTCCAACGATGGATGCACTCTACATAGTCTTGTTTAATGTATAATAGTGATAATGTTTTTTATAAGTTGTAATAGATATTGCTATCTCTTCACTGGTGTGACCAGTGAAGTTTTGCAAATACTTTGTCTTTTAAAGTTAAACTGAGCAGTGCACTCATCTCAGTAACCAGGAGCATTTTGGACCGGAAAAGCAATGGGAATAAAGGTAAGCATAATCTTAAAAGTTTGGATAAAGTTTGCTTGTTCTTTCTTTGCATACATGAGTTTCCTTTGGGATTCTGTTTTCCTCTCACATTACTAAATGTAATGACATGAATTAGGTGTATTATCAACTCTAATTGTCATTTAGTGTAAGTGTTTCTGCTATAGCTGTCCAATATCAGAATATTTGTAGCGATAATCATGTTATATGAAATTCCGTTTAGTGCATTTACAGTATGTAGCACCGATTCGCAACACGTCAAGACAATTCAATCAGATCTTATGGTCAGATTCGTAAGAACATGCTATTAAGGAGAGACAGCTGATTTCATTGAGTAGTCAGCTGGATAAGGTTGTGATGATGGGATGACCTTGCATTTTGTAAATTACTTTTTTGTAATTCGTTACACCAAGGATCCATGCAGTGACAGTGAAGAGAAAAAACCTCCTTTTGAAAAGAAAGAAACCTAAAACATTACCAGGCTCCACCATCTTTTTTTTTACAAGTACGTAGACTACTGAGTGTACCACAGTTTGCTCCATCCCACATTACGTGACTTCTTATTACAGATGGACTAGGGACCATATTTCTTAGTTATGTTTTAATAAAAGAAAGACAATAAGACATGCAGTTAAAGTGAGGATACAAAAAGAAGGTTCCTCACCAAAACCTGCCTATCTCCATTGATGGAGCAATGATTCTAAGTCTAAGAAACAACTGTAACTATGATAAGCTTGAATAGACAAGGATCTCATCTTTGTATTGCCTACAAACAAAATATTTAGAATGGTATATGATATGTTTAAAAAAACAAACAAAAAAAAACAAGGTTTTTTTTTGGTGACTCTAGGGAAGAGGCTGCATTAGCCAAGGTTAGAGTATTGACTGCTTCACATTGATCATGTAAATTTAAGATGGCGACTTCAGAGTTAGCTTTAGTGATTTAATCTAGTGTGCGACATACTCAAATGTTTGTGTTAAATATTATGCACTGTCCTTTTTATATACATAACGTGTGTTGAGATCGCCAGGTCTTCATAACAACTATTACATGTCACCTCCATCCCAAATGGTTGAGAGTCATGGAAAGGGAAATAGGTAGTTTGCATCCTATACTCAAAACATAATATAGGAGGACTATATTCTGCTGGAATCAGGAGCTTTGGCTAGATCTGTTCAAATACATTACGTTATTCTAAAACCTCCAGACTGGTATGGCATTCAGCTATGGCAAGACTACCATTACTTGAGGCTTTGATTTTTGTTCTCTCTGATGTAAAACGCAGCGGAACCTGTTTGGGTTTATGACATAATGACTTTAACAGCAAACAAAAAGTTGGTCATTAGTGATTTCCAGCAGGATATTGGTTTACAAGGTATGAACAGAGCAACACAAAAACTGTTAACTTGACACTAAATGACCTTATTGTATCTCCATCTTAGTCCCCAGGCCTACTGTAAATTTTTATGAAAAACCCAAGGTGAGTTTATACTGACACAATATACTGCAAATAGGGACTAGACAGTGTCCTGAGTCTGTGCTACAAGGCATAGTTAAAAAAAAACAACATAAATTCTAAGCTTGCTAAAGTTTTTTTTACATTGTTTCTGTCTTTCTGCAAACATCAATTTATTTTACTTTGCTATGGTGTTGCGAGGGAAGTTGAGAATGTGCTTACATCAAATGTTCAATTTACCATTTAGGGTGACCATATTTTCATTTGGGAAAACCAGGACACCTTGGAGTGGGGCGTGGGGGGTGGGTGGGGGTGGGGGGATTGGGGGGGAGTTGGGGGCATGGTTGGGATCTCTGTTGCCATGCATAGAGATTTCTATATCTAAAAATGCTTTTCAGTAAAAGTCAACAGCAATAACTCCTATAACAAACGATAATTTTATTCAAAATGTATTTATTAAAAATGCTTAACAATTCCTGTAATGAATTAATAGCACAATGAAAGAAATAATGTCTCATCTAAACATCCCTCACTTAACAATAAAAGTTAACAATAACTCTCAACTCCCAATAACACATGATACTCAGCCTCAGTAATGAACAAAATAATGTTTGTTCTGTAGGCTATTGGAAAAAATAAATTAACAAATGAGCTAATTAACAAAAAAATACCTCTTGTGTAGCAAAAATAACTCAAAATGTACCAAAAACGAACAAACATATCAATAGACTATCTTTACTTTCGGTGTCCAGGTGACTTTTCAGATTCCTTGCACCTCCATTGGACACCGAGACATATGTGCCTGCTTTGCACACTGTGCACAAGGCCTCCAATGTGTCTCGACCCGGTCCGAAAGCGGGGAAACTCTTCTGTAAGTCGTCGGTAAACATACATTTGCGCTTTTGCATGTTGTTGGCGCACTGTCGGCCACGCTATCTATATTCTGATTAAGAACAAGGCTGCCCGCACTGACGCGGCTCAGGGATTACATCACACGCAGCGTTGTGCGCAGTGCCCTAGTGCCTGTAAATTTAATGGTCCAATTAAGGTAATTTAAAAAATCAGGACATTTCCTCACTTTCTAAAAAAAACCCAGGATGCCCGGGACAGGACGTGAAATAGGGATATGTCCAGGGAAATACGGACGTTTGGTCACCCTACATAACTGCCTTTTTCATGTGTCTAAAAAAAATCCTGTTGCAACAAATTAAAGGCTTACAATAGTTTCACATTAACATAAATGTTTCTAAATTGGTTTTGTTGTTTTTGAGGAATCAATGCTCTAGTGTATAGTGATCCATCGTCTGTGTTCTTAAAACTGGAGGTTTTTGGTGTTTTTTAAATTTGTGTTTACCTGGAAAATTTCACAGTAAGGGCCAAGTGACCAATATGACACTGGGAGAGAGAGAAACACCAAGGATGTGCTGATAAGGACGAGAGCTGTCTAGCTGAGGAAATGATTTTGGAAAACCAATAGTACAAGTCATTACCAGCAGCTGTAAATATGTTCAGGAACTGCATGTGTGTTGGGGCGAGTGGATGGTAATCTGCATGTGTCTGAGGCCAGAGAAACACCTTCATCCCATGAGAGTAGCAGTGTGTAAGTAGCTGAGATGT